GTAACTGGCTCGCGCTGCCAGTAATTACGCCGCGGGATATTCAGTGCACAGACCGTGATCATAAGACATACCGAAAATAGAAAATAGAAAATAGAAAATAGACATTGCATGTGAACGAAGCCTTATTGTTCAAATGTTCAAATGGGTGCCATCATCATGCCATCATCATAATTTCCATTAGGCAGTACAAGCAGGCTTACACACCATTAGTGGGCAAATGAAAAATAGCATTTGGGATAATCTGTTTTACACTATCTGAAAAAACACTGGCTGACTCCATCTCCATATTATAATAGTTAACTTGAGCAATGCGTTCTTTTTTATATGGAAAGTATTACATATAAATAAACCAGACCAAAATAATAACACTGAGTAAAGTAAAGGCAGTCTTGGCTGTTAGGCACAAGCCCTGCAAGCAATTGCCCCATCAAAACAGGTGCCAGGCAACTAAAAAAAATAAAGTTTATATAACACTAGCCCTCTATATCCCGAAAGGCTAGAAGGCTAAAATGCTTTTGGCACAGCCTGTGAAGGTTATTTGATTTATATGCCTATATAACAGACATCTAAATAACCTACTGGCACATAATAGTGTACAAGTTCCACCTGATGGCTAAGCCAAAGGTGGACTATTAAAGATTACAGAGCCTAGCATATGCTAGCCAGGCAAAGTGATGCAGGTGTTTATACCAGTTTCTAATATAGTGTTTGAATTCTTGACACATAAGGCCACATTAAATATAACATGAAATTTACATCTTACTATTCTTAACACAGATATTATTGATGCCTCTCCAGCCGTAAATTACCAAAGAAATATTCTACGCTCATCAATACATCCATTATGAAAAGCCAAACATCACACATCAATGACATGATACAAAGTATCTATTTTCTTCTATTAATCGGTCTCTTGGGGAACTAATAATCAAGTAAAGTAGACCAAGATATCTTATTACCCACAACAAAGACTAATACATATCGGGAATCTACTATATTATTGGAGAGTGCACTAAATACAGTAGACTGCAATATTGAGCTGATCAATGATCAATAAATTCTGATCCTGAATGGAGCACTGCTCTTAGCCTAGGTAATTAACCATGAAATATTTATAAACACTCTATTGATAACTCAAGGATTACTGTGAAAAATGGGTATGAACACCCCTGGACAGCATAAAAGAAAATCCTCAGTGGCTTGACAAAACACAAAATATTCACCAAATCACATACTTACTGTAAAAATTAAGGAAGATAAAAAGAATACAAGGTTGCTTTCAATTAATTGCTTACATTTTTCAGTTGTTTGGCTAAAAGGAAAAGTAAAAGTACCATAGAATAAGTCTATGCCAGTATATATATTAATATTGTTTTACAATTACATTTTTATCTACATAAATATCAGGCCTGCCTACTGTATGTGATAATGAGCATTACCCGTGTTCTGAACATCTTAGAATAATTATCTCTACAACCCACCAATATCCCGCACTACACTTATGCTATTTTTTGTGTTTCCATTCCACACATATCTACATCTACATCTTTCTGCACTGCACTTCAAATTTTCATACCTAGTACCCGTATCAAGGTTTCTATATCTCATTTTCACAATGTAGCCACTTATGAACATGATCCATTTATTAATGGTTATAATAACAAGCAATTAAAATCTACTTCCTTGTTGCATACATTTGGATATTGGATAAAAAATTTTGCCCTTCAATCTAGCAAATGGAAATGACAGTTTGTAGTTATACATACAGAAAAAGATACTGTAGGAGGCAATAATTCGTTCAATTGAAGCACTAGTACTACTTCTAAATGAAAACATACCGAGGGTCACCAGTAGAAGAGACTGGAAACCTATATGTGTGTGATCAAACAAATTATAACAGCACAGTTTTATGGAATATTTGGGTTGTGTGGAAATTTGTAAGATGTGCAGAAACAGAGGTGAATATAAATTTATGTGAAAACAGCAGGAAAGCAATTTGGTAGTCAGGGAAGCCTGAATACGGTTTTCATCCAGAAAATGCACAACAAATTGGAAGAGCATTGAAAACAAAAAGCATAAAGATGCTCACAATTTAAAATGGAATAAAAAACATGCTAGTAAGTTGCTAGCACTTTTATCTGTAGGTCAACTCTAGCCTGTGCTATGCCACTACATATTTTCTTCTCCTGGAAAAGTATCAACATGATCAACAATAAATGAGTCTTAGGCCCTTTTCACATCCAATGGTACACTTAACTGGACAGGTGCACTTATTAAGTTATCCACTGAAGTACACTGCTCAACATAAAAATGCTTTATATTTGAAACATTTATTATAAAAGATCTATCCCATTTCAAAATGTCTTATTTTGTTTAAAGAAAAAACTTACCATTTTTATATAAGGCTGTTCTGGTTGAAAAATTATTCTGGGACAAAATACATGAAGCCAGGCCATAAAAGGAAACCTGGAATACAGAAAAGTAGATGTGAGTTTCTTTTTCTAGGATCACACTGCTATATAAATATACATACAAAAATATGTTCAGTGGGCTTGAAAATAAACTTGATAACACACTGTACATTTATAGTATCATGAAATGCTCAATACCTAAAACTTAAACCTGTGTAAAATTATAATTTCTTTCAAAAAATCACAAATTTTAAGCTTAGTTAATAAGACTAAATTAAATCTTAATGAAGAATGTACTTGTTATAAATTAGTGGCCTATAATACATTCAGCCTGCCTCACAACAGGCTAAAAATTTGGGCTGTCAGCACAAACTGAAGACCAAAAAGAAGAGGTATAGGACACTATTACATATATATATTAAAATGCAACAAATAAATGCTTAGTAGGCAAGGACAGACATGGGGAAAAACTTTGGAAGTACTTAAGGTCTGGAGGACCTGCACTACAAGAAATCGTCTAATTCTGATCAGGTCTGTTAGTCAATGTTTATGTATGATTCATTTATAAATATGTATGGCCGTGAAGAGGACCTGCATTATCAAAAATCTTCCTGGTCCTCTGGCTTTTCAAGCAGTCATGTCCTGTCAGACAGGTAGTTTCCCTATGCTTAGATCTAGCACAAAAATTGGGTTGAAATAAATTTTAAGCAACATGTCTGAATTTTTAAATTAATTTATTGAATTTATTTATAATATTTATTTTTTCAATTTGTATTGTTTTCAATTAATTGGTTTGCCAAGTTAACCAATTTTGACTCAGGCCCGTTATACACAAATAAATGACACAAATAAATGATTCAGATTAAAGCAGTGGCATATACAGGTACCAAAAGGCCACATGTAACACACTAAAGGAATCTTACCAGCTTGCCATACTCTATAAATATTTTGTTTATTGTGTTAACTTAGCCAAATTTGATGCTTTACACCTGTTTACATTGGTATCCACCATTAAAAACATGGATGAAGACTTCAGCCACACTGTCAGAGAGAGGATAAACACAATTTCTGAACACTGGATGTGCATTACCCTACACAACTTGGCTAAACAGTTTTTTGTGAAATTAACCAAAGATTTTTAGACAGGTAAACCTGATAAATGAAACAATTTTTGTAAGTATAAAATCTCATGTTTTGGTGAATTATTAGATCAATTTCAGCACAATTCTGAAAGTTACCTAGACAATAAACCTGAACCATCTACTTAATTTATCTTCAAAAAAAAAAAAAAAAAAAAAAAAAAGTAAGCCTTTACAGACAACATTCCCTTACTTCATTTTAATATTTATAATCAAGTTTTTGACAAGATCCATTTGTACACATACAAATACATGACATCATATCAATTTAATCTACTTTTCTTAATCATCAGGATCTTAAAAAACACTTTGGTGGTTTGTCTTTATATACTTATATACATATATTAGTTTAAATAAAATACTTATGTAAATTTAAATCAATAATTTTATTTCAGTATGATTCATCTACGAGAAACCATGAAGTACATTACTGTGTAGACTGTTTGAAAAATTGATCAAATAGGAGAAATAATAAGTGAGCTCATCTGTTGAAAACAAAATGAATAAGAAACAGAAGTACAAGTATATAATAATGATTGATATCTACTTAATTTTGAATGATAGATCAATTTACATCTATAGGAGACGAGGCATGACAAATATGATGTTAATATAACAAAATCAGCAGAGTTATTGATCTGGCAAAATGGAAACATTTCAAGTGGACTGCATTCAAAACAAAACACCTGGTGCCCTCCCCACTGATGTAGAATATATAACAGTACTCTCATAGCTAAAACAGCACCATATATAAGTGTAGTTACCTTTTCATTGTGCAAATTTAAGACAATGGAGTACACACATAATCTGGCACATAACACTGATTGCATACAGATGATAAAAACTTTGGTAGAGGGTAATAACATCTATGTAATTTTTAATTTTTTCTTGTTAGAATATTTGGACCATATGCTACACAGGCAAAAATTTACTCTGAAATTGACTTTTGACTTGGTGAAACAAATGCCTGTAAGTTTTCAATGAAAAAGGAGATAATCTGTGAGAATAATCAAAGCTATGGACATACAGATTCATGAAGACTGAGCATATAGCCAGACACATTTCAGAAGAAATAGCTCATAATGTCTAACACCTATATAAAGTATTTTTGACAAATGGTTTTAATAAATGGAATTCACTGCCAAATCCTCTTTTTTTAAGGAGACATTCAGAGGCACACTGATTAAATCTCAGCTCCATTCAACTGGACACGTAGAGAGGCGTGTGAGAGGCGGAGAGACCATTACAGGATTAAATGGTCTTCCTTTCATGTACAGTCCACCATATTTGATCCTTGGACCAGTTATTACCTTACCTACCCCACCTACGGGCCTGCATCACAAATACTAAATACAGTTATACTATCTATACTTTCAAAATTACAAAATATAGCAAAGGGACTATTTCTGGTTTTACCACAGTTTTTGGATGTCAGTGTTTCCTGGGTATGAGTCATAAATGTTTAGGAGGCCTGATAACTATGTTATTATTCAGTATCTTTACTTCAACCTTTTCCAAAATCACTGCACTGTGTTATTTAACTTCTTCTTTCTAAATATAAAATGTTAAGGTATGAGACAATCTGCAGATTATGTCAGCCTGGGGTTATAATAAGGAAAAGCTAGTATCAGCAGTTCTTAAATCATCGATCAAATGGAAGACATCACCTGTGGCACCCAGCTGGGCAGGCGGGACGTTCCACTTTACCATACCTAATGCTTCCTTTCTATATATCTATTCCAAGTATGCTGTATATGCAGCTTATGAATATCAATATATATAAACACTATTTCCTAACACTTTAACTTGGATATTAATATTAAAACTGTGAAGTAATCTACATTGTGTTAAAACAATACACAACTATTTGCTTCAACAGACGTAACCAAAATGATTTGCATATCAAAATGATTGCTATGCAGTCTTAGCATTTGTGCAAAATATTCATGCCGATAATACTGTTCATATAGAAGGATTATATAGTTAACATCCATGTAATATTTGATGCATGTAGGTATTAAATAATAATAATAGTGTCTGAATAGTCCTGTTCTGATAAAGGTCATATCAATGATAACTGCTATATAGCTTAATTTAAACTCTTTTTCATATTATGGAAACAAAACCCCCTTTATACCCCAAATAATTTAAATGATAGATTTAAATTTGTATTCCAATTCAGCAGTCAGCTTTATTTTCAGTTGTCAGCTTAGCCTCCATAGATACTTAAATGGCAGACTTTTAGTACTCTACAATCATACAATGCAGAATAATGCTCCTGCAATGTGACTTTCTCTACTTCTATGGTGTTATGTAATATTTGCAACCATACAAAAAGTGCATATCAGAGGACCAGGTTGGTGACAATATTTGCAAAGTATAACAGATTATGAAAGTAACGTATTATTTGTAATTTAATCCAGAGTGTACAAGTAACCTTAGCTCTAAGCGGCTCGCCCAACCATACTAACCACACTACCTCCCAGTCCATGTTGGCTATGAGTAGGACGATGTGCAAGTTCTTGAACCCGAGAGCAGCAAACATTTTTGATTACGATGAAATGCCTTCTCTTGCCTGATAACATTTCAAATAGAGAACGTCGTTAATGTGTATTTTAATTGTATTGAAAATCTGCACAAACCTCTCTGCTGAGAAAACCCGCCGTAACTCCCGAAGTGTTCAATGATAAGACCGCCCGACTCAGACGGAGTGCAGACGTAACCACCATTTTGAGGTTTATTCAAAACTCCGTAAACTCTTCACTTGTAACTTAACTCCTGATAAGTTAACGTATAAAAGCTCTTGTCTTTGCAATTGTTGATTTAAGGCACAGATGAATATTTTTTTTCATAAAACAACAGTTATTATTGGTACCGCCTTTCCAATTTCATAGTTTCCAAGTGCTGTGTACAGCATTCGTAAGCTGGCCTGTCTTGATTGACCTATCTTTATTGCGAGACTTCGCGAGATTAGTATGATATCAACAACAAGTTAATGCATAGATTTAGGAAAAGCTGTGGAAGAATAGAAAACTTCCTCTTTTTCGAGGTACAGCATAATCATTAAAATGTCCACAGTTAGACAAAGAATCAGCGACAATGCAGACAAGGCAGAAACGGAGGTAATCGGAACAACAATAATTTTTTCACTGAAAGTATAGATAAAATGATGCCTTGATGTTAACCAATGAATGAGTTAGATAAACCTGGTCGGGTCACATCCACATTTTAATTTGCTACATATTTTAAAGAAATCGATTTTGTACATCTACTTAGGAAATAAGACTTGAGGTTGGCAAAACTAGAAAGGAGATGGCCATGACCAGGGGAAACTATGCTCGGTCAATAGTTTCAGTGCATACTCTCAGTATAGTGGTAGCAAACCCATGCGTTAGCACTCAAATTTGCTGTTTCTGAAATGTATTGGCTGTGCTGGTACATGAAAACAAACAGCCCAAAAGTGTAGCATGCGGTCCAGCTTACACATCCTCCGTGATGCTGGAGATTTTTAATGTACTTCTCGCAATCAGAAGTCCATTTGTTGTGGTCATTGCCCTCCATCCAGGAAAACCGGGGAAATATGTTTATGATTTTACCTGACCTAACTGGTAAACAAGCAGATGAATCGTACCATATACATAGCTTTGTCAATGGGACAACTGCTGGGCTTTGATTCATTAGGTGGAAGATAAAGGTTCGAGAGCCCTGACATCACAGTTGATGTTTAATCTGGCTGTCATTGTACTAAGAGTTTTTGAGCTGTTTGCTTTCATGCATTACTATATTCAGTGCATATCAGAACTGTACATAAGAGTGCTAATGCATGAATTTTCATGCTCATATAGTGGCAGTGAACATAAATATTCCTCAACTCTAAAGTAGGAAAGGGCTTTTCATACTGTGCATTATTTCTTAGCGATACAGCTGTGCTGGTATGTTTTGAAAGACTTGATATAGCCTGGCAATTACAGGAATCACCTTTACGTTGCCCCCTTTCCGTGCATTCAGCACTGCCAATAAATTAACTAAATAGCATGAAGTGAATTGAAGAACTGCAGAAAGAGAATAAAGTCCCCCTGTAGTATATAATTTACAATGTTATTTACATCTTTCTAGGTAAGTGAATACAAAAGATGTAAATAATATTGCTAGAATTCTTCAAACTACTCAACACTATATTTTAAATTTTAATGAAAAAATATGTCTATGGATATTATTTGACTGATATAGTCCCTTATACATCAGCATCTTTCCTGCTACAAGCAGTGGATTTCTTAATCCAATTATCTTAAAAATGCATTTTTGAAACCATTCATATGTGACAACAGTTGTTGACTAATACTCTTTTAACAGTAAAGTTACATGCCACAGATAGGACCTTTGGGTTACACTGATACGCTTATTACACGTTTCATAGTCACTGTTGTGGTACAGAAGATACATACATACATACATACATACATACATACATACATACATACATACATACATACATACATACATACATACAATTAAGACTATTATTTAAAACTGCTTTTATTCTGGAAACACTTCTTTTCTTATCTACATACACTTCACACTACTGAAAAGCCATATGGCCATAGATTTGTAAAAAAAAAAAAAGAGTAATTTGTGAGTACATAATCATTAAATGCCAAAGTAAAATCAATGGTCTGTAGAAGATGGATTGAGGACCATCATTTAGTGAAGGCTGTTACTAAAACCATGCATGTGAGCATTAAGTAGTACATATTTTATTACATTGTACAGGTGATCCCATGTAGGCTTGGCCCACATATGAGTTTAAATGTGTTCATCACTCCTTATTATTTCCAAGTGAGATATTCAGACCTGTAACAAGAACACAATTCTCACTAACTTCTTCATGGGATATTTATGCAACGGTAGACATCCATTACTTTATAACTGGCTGTTGGATTTGAAGTTGCAGTTTCATTTATTGAGTGTGCTTTTTTGAGTTCAACTGCACTTTTATGTTTGTGTGTGTGTGTGTGTGTGTGTGTGTGTGTGTGTGTGTGTGTGTGTTCTGTACTTAAACACAACAATAAGAATATCTACCATACATCAAGGATGTTGGAGAATAAACAGTGGTGCTTCTGATAGGCTGTTCGTTATGAGCAGTTAAAAAGTTTTCAGTTATGACAACGGTTTACATGATCTGCTAATCAATAAACCATTGGTTAGGCTTGTGATATTTATAATACATGTCACCACACCACTGTGTGTTGTGGTTTGGTGTGGTGATACCACACCACTGTGGGTTGTGGCAAGCCTCCAACTTCAGATGTGACCTTGGCATCTCTGCTGGTGATAGTTTATTATGCTGAAAAACAAATCAGTCGATATGATGATTAGACTGATAAAAGATAGAATGGTAGTGGTTCAAAGTAGTGCAAGATCAAGGTCATTTTAAGTAATAAACTTTAATATATTATCCTTTCCATATTGAAGCAACATGATTTTTTACTTTTGAAGAGTTATGGTGATTAACTGATTAAGCAGTATAACTTTGGTATCATACATTAAATCAATTTTGTAATTAAGTAAGATACTTTGTATACACTGACCTGGAATATATGCTTGCTTTTACATATTTAGGACAATAAAAATGCACCAAAAGAAGAGGAAGAAGAAACTCCAGAAGGACTCGATTTATCAGGATCTCTACTCCCGCAGGCCACAGACCAAACCTCAGAAGTTCTAGATTCAGCATTAAAGACTTTACCACCAAGGTTTGTAATGATTAATAATTTGCATACTTTTTCACACATTACAAGATGGGTTTTGGAATTTTATGTTATAAATATGAAGTTTGGGTTTATAGGTACATTGTTGCTGTGGGTCTAGGAATCGGCTTTATGTTAGTGCCCCATGCGGCATAAATGCCAGTTGTATTCAAACAATTTCTGTTTTTTTTTTACAGATGGAGGAATTGGATTGTACGAGGCATTTTTTCTTTGGTGATGATCTTTTCATTTTTTTTCCTCATATATCTTGGGCCACTGGCACTGATGTTACTGGTATGTTGATTTTGAAGTTATTTTTTAAAATTAACTTGAAGCTTAGTTCAAAGTTCTCTAAAGTGAATAAGATTTGTAAGTGTAAAGCTCTCGGCGTTTTGACTTGGATCCAGATTTAGAAAAAAGTGTTTAATTTATCTTGACTAATTGAATGAATATTTAACAAGATTTTCATGCATTGATATCATTATCTGAATCTTGTTTTGAGTGACAAATCGGCTTTCCTATACATGTCTGGTGACCTGTTGGGTTGGGCACAGTTACTCTCTACTACAAAGTCTCAGACCATTAACGATCTAATCATGGTCAGCATACTAAACAGTCAATTCAGAAGACTAGTGGAAAGTTGCTAATTTTATTGAGCAGTGTCATTGCTTTTGAACTTTAAAACGCCAGTTTGCCTGAAGGGTTCAAGCTAAAATGTATGATCTCATTTTTTCAGATATTGGTAATCCAACTCAAATGTTTCAACGAGATCATCACTATTGGCTATGTTGTCTATAGGTCACATGATCTTCCGTGGTTCCGTACATTAAGTTGGTATTTTTTGTTCGCCTCTGATTACTTCCTGTATGGAGAAAATATAATCGATAGGTTTGGACTGTTACTATCTCGAGATGTAAGTATAGTTTGAAAATTTAAACACAAGACTTCAACATTTTATTGCTTGCTGGTTCTGCATACAAATTTTTATGTACAGACACAGATGTGTCTGTACATATTGCCATCACCTGCGTCTGTCGTCGCCGTCGCTGTCGCCAGCGTCAGCGCCGTGCACTTTCATTGTAAACACAATAAGTGGAGGGCAGTTTTACTTTTTGGCTTTATATTTACAGAGCTGATGAATATTCATAAAACGCAGGTCAAGTTCGAAAATCAGCATGATCGGGCCATTATTGTATAAGTTATGCTGTTTTCTTCACTTTTCAGCGTATATGCAACCCTGTAAGCACATTTTAAGGAAAACCGATAGGCCTGTTGTCATGAAACTCACAGGAATAATCAATTTTACTAAAACACAGANGACAAGGCATTAATTGACCTCATTTCCATGAAAAATGATGCTAAAAGGAAATGTGTATTTTTTTCTTATACTTGAGGTGAAAGTGAAAACTGGCCTTGCTTTGTACATATCAAAGATTAGAAATGTCTGGGGGAAAAGATTGTTTTATTATCCTGACTATAATATGGGTTCTTTCAGGTTTTTGAACTTGAAATAAAATGTGATGGAAATCCTTGGTACTGATCATTATGATATAGTTGTACATGGTTTGCCTTAATTTCACGTGGTTTTTATGCAGAAGCTAAAGCATGGGGAATTTACAAGGTCTACCTGTTTAATAAAAACTGCTTATCAAATTCACTCCATACAAATAAGAAGAATAAACAGACAACTAACATAGTGAGACAACTTACATAGTGATACTTTTCAAATGTTTCCCCGTCTATCTTATTTTTTAACTTACCTTAATCAAAAAGCACACAAATGCATAAAAAGGTCATTTGTGGATTTTTGCTAGTTTTTGTTCAGACATACATTTTGTTAAACAATACCCACAACTGATTTATCAAATTAACTGTTAACACATTTTCCTGGAATCAACTCAAGTCATACATGAATGGAGTTTGAACAGGTTCTATATTAAACAGGACTATGTATGTTAGATAAAAACAAACAACCAATATGTACTGGTATATTGGCAGCCATCTTGCCATGCTGTAGTAGTTATGTGGCAGTGTAAATTTTCTAACCTCCATTATGACAATAAGGTGCTCAAATATTTCTAAATTATGCATTCACTTTGATTATTTCTGTCACTTCTTCCTTGATACACATGCATATTTCATGCCAATCTACTGAAATCTGTTGAAATTATTGTTATTATTTCAGGATTTTCTGGAACCTTTTGTAAAATACCACCGCTTCATCTCCATGTGTTTGTATATGGCAGGCCTGATGGGTTTTGTGTTCAGTCTTGTCAAAAAGCATTACCTACAGCAGTTTACGCTGGTATGTCTAGAGCACAGCAATATCCAATCGCATAGCATAGATGCAGCACTCTGCATTTATTGATTTTACACAAAGTGAATGACACAGCAAAAATGACAATGGCGTGAAAGATGTAGATTAAATTGCATCTTGGAATTATTAGTACCACCAGCGTGTACGCTGGCGGTACTCATGGTTTTAGTCCCGACCCGTCTCGTACAGCTCCGCCGGCTCCGCCGGCTCCTGCGGCTCCTGCGGCTCCTGCAGCTCCGCAGGATGACGTGGGATACAAGTCACCGTTACCGCTTCTCCTCCTAGACCGCAAGGACCTGTGTCCCCATCTCTTGGATTTAGGTCACATATAATCTCAACTTGAACACCCAGGTTTTTTTGTCTCAGTTGGTGCATTGACCTGGGCGTGACGCTCGTTGAAACGCACCCTTGTCAAAATTTTTGAAAATTCAATGCTAAATATCTCCCAAACCAATGGAATTATGGGAAAAATTTCTACAGATGGCTGACCGAAAGTCATATGTGAGGATTTCAAATATGCCCTTGGATTTGACCT